AACTTTATATCTCTAATGGGAGGCTTTCTGCCTATGGATTTGGTGGTTAAAGGTATGTTTTTGACAACATTTAGTAAGCTAAGTTTTCTAAGTACTTGGTGCTAGTGGAATTCTTACATTGCATTTCAGATTTCTAATCCCTATGCTAGAGGTTTTTCCCAAGTACTTTCACATACTTAATTGAAGATTTAAAGCCGAAAAATACACTCATAAATCCTAATGGTGCTTTCTAACTTGGCTGTACCGATATATAAGAGTTTTTTCAGATTAGATACATAGGTAGTGGCTTTTCTATTAGATTCATAACAGTACATAGTACTTGAGACTGGTGGTTGGCAACCTCAGATTTTTCTGTGTAATTGATTTCTTCTCTGCATCTATGATTTTAGGCGCATTTGAGCTTATTACGGACGAAACTAGAGCTGGTTCGTGCTTACAGATCACAAATCGCAGAGGCTTGGAGTATTGGCCCACTCCAATGGAAGAAGCAAAATACTTGTTGCGTTCTTCCTCAAGTTCCAGGAAAAATATGTCATTTAAAGCTCCTTTGAATCTTCAACTTCCTCAGAGTTTTGAGAAAATGTGAGTAAAATATGTCAAACTAGTTTCACTTTTGAACTCTATTGAATAAACATGGTTTGGCATTCAGTGCTGTAAGCTAAATTTAAGTTAACACATTAGACCTGATACATTTTTTTCTAAAATTGACTTTTATTTTTAGCGTAATGTTGATATCTGGATCTGCTTTATAACACTCCATTCAAAGTAACCATCTTCTCCTTAAATTTTGAGCTCTTTAAATGATCCCATATGAATATTTAATGCTCCTCTTGAAAAATGCGTCTTCGGTAACCACCTATAACAAACTCATTTTTTGGTTCCTACCTCCAGTGTGTCCCAGAGCTCTCTGCCCATATCTAGCCCTTCCTATTTCTAGAAGATATTTGTAGTCTAGAAAATGTTTGCAAACAAATTAGCTGATTCAGGAGGAAAATAATTCTCTAGTTGTAAATGTTAGTAAATTCAGAAAATTTAGAGGAATTAAGATGGCATTGCTGCTTGAGTAATGATTGTTTCTATTACATGAAAGCAATATTGTTTACTGTTTTTACAGCTCCTTGGTTTTCATCATTGCCCATAAGTGCACTTTTAAAGTATTCCTTCCTCAAATTATCTGATAATTACTATTATAATAGTGAAGAAAAATGCTTATTGTTTCTTGTTTGTTATTTTTGGGCCAATGTTTCTTCTTGTTATTGAGCATTGTCCTTTTGTTCTTTATCTCCAGAGTTGTGCATACCCTGAGCCATCATTTCCGTAATGCAACGCAGATAGTTCGTGTGCCATTGAGACTACCCATTGAACCAAACCATGTTCTTGTGAAAATAATTTATGCCGGTGTAAATGCTAGTGATGTAAGTTCACTACTTTTAATGGATTAATTTGAAATTTGAATTTGCCTTCGTTTTTTTTTTTTTTTCTTAATAAATTTTCCTGAGTGTTGTTTGTATATATCTTGGTGCTTTCCCATTTGTTTTGGCATGCCTAAGAATCTTGTGTAGGAAATGATGCTAATAGAAGTAGTAGGGCACCAATCATGAAACATGAAGGGGACAAGTTTGATGATTTGTGTATGTGTCATTGAATGGGGGAAGTGAAGATAGACTGAGGGGTGTTTGGTATAGCAATTAGTGGTTTCATCTATTCAAATGGTTGTCAATTATTGTTATTAATAATCTAAACACTCTTATTCATTGGATTAAGCAAAACCACTAAGCCCTAATTTTAAACCACTATACCAAACACCCCAAGTTGAAGTGGGAAATATATGATTTTCTAATGCATGTAAAGAGTACAGCCCTATTCATGGGCAGAATTAACAGATTTATCGAGTTTAAGGTTTAAAACTATTATCTTTTATGATATTTTTTATGTTTATTGAGTCAGTACATTTGTTACACCAAATGTCTTCTGTGAGACGGAAGACCTGATTATTATATCTTTTGTTTATTGAGACAGAGAGGTGTTCCTTGTACCTTTTACATAACAGTTATTGAAGAAACGAGAAAGGGGAATACTGATTAATGGATTACCTATATATCCTCAATTTATTTTAAAACTAAAAATAATCATGTAAAAGAAACTAGGCTCTAACCATAGGATTCTAGCATTCTTCTACATATTTATTACATCATTCCCAAAATGTTAGTGCCATTTCTGAATTGCAATTTCAATTGAAGATTTATTGTTTTTTCAAATTTTTTTCACTTTACTGTTGTTGTTTTTGTATTTAATTTGAGCCTCCTCACCCTTGGTTAGGTTAGATGTCTTGATGTGATAACAAAGCCCTTGTTTATTAGTTTTAGTTTTTAGTTTTTAGTTCTATTTGGTCTGTGTGTCAAGGGAAGTGTTGACTGCCTTTTTATTGGCCATGGGTAGTGTTAACTGCTGGTTTTACCTGAAATTGCCCAAACTTATAGGTGTGCAAAGATATAATGTATGTGCATGTGTTATTAAAACACAGGTGAACTTCAGCTCAGGTCGTTATTTCGGTGGCAACAATGGAGACCTCAGTTCCCTTCTTCCATTTGATGCTGGATTTGAGGTATTGTGGAAATATTATCTGGTTTTATGTGTAACATTCAGTTGATTTTAACATCAATTTCAATGTTACAGGCGGTTGGAATAATTGCAGCAGTTGGAGATTCTGTAAGGGGTTTGAAAGTTGGTACTCCTGCTGCAGTCATGACTTATGGAAGTTATGCTGAATTTATAATGGTATAAAAGTCCAAAAAGAAATGTTTGTGGGCTTAGCAAGATCACATTTCGTTACCCACATTATTGTTTATTTTCAATACCTTTTAATATCTTTGGACTTAAAATCATTAAACTTTATCAATTATGGATATTCTACCAAACATAGGTTCCATCAAAACATATCCTTCCTGTTGGGAGACCAGACCCAGAAGTGGTTGCAATGCTTACTTCAGGGTTAACAGCATCAATTGCTTTGGAAAAGGTACTGTTGCATTTTTGTAGCTGTATGCTTTCTCACTCTTTCTAGCCGTTCTCAAACATCTATATCTTATATCATTATCATCTTACTCTCCACATTATAACCATCCATTCAAACAACTAGTTTCACTTTCTAACCATATTTTTATCTCTCCCTTTGGACCATAGGTTGGACAAATGGAATCTGGAAAAGTAGTACTTGTTACTGCTGCTGCAGGAGGTACTGGGCGGTTTGCAGTCCAGGTACAAATTAAGATGTGGAGATGGTTTTTTTATTACATTTATTTTCTATATCTACTCTATGGAGGTCATGTTGACCTAGGGCACATGGTGACTATTTGTCTGTATTGTTTGTGCAACAAATTTTCACTAGTTATTCTCTCTCTCTCTCTCTCTCTTTTTCCCGCACTTTTCTTTCTTCTTTTTCTAAGGTTCAATCCTCTAGAATGTAATCCTCCTTTCCCCAATTTCTATTGTTCTGTTGTTTTTCCCTTGAAGAATATTTATATTCATTTCTTCTGATTTTGTTGCTAATCATATATTAGTTTTCTGCCTGCTATACATGGTCTTTTATTTCAATTCATTGGACATTCTAATTCATTATTTCATGCTTTAATAAAACAAAAGATTTCTATTGTTCACTTAAATATATCTTCTTTTTATGTACTATTTAGCTGTAAACAATATTATTAATTAGGACATGTATGCAGCTTGCAAAATTAGCCGGGAACAAAGTTGTTGCAACTTGTGGTGGTAAAGCAAAGGCTATGCTTTTAAAGGAGCTTGGAGTTGATCGAGTCATAGACTACAAAGTTGAAGATGTCAAAAATGTATGCTTCTTCACTTCCAACGTGAAACCTGTTTTCAGATCTTTTACCCTAGTAAAAGCTATGAATACCAAAATGGGTTCAATTTGAGTATGGACTATATGATTCTCTGGTATCTATTTTTTTTCATATGATAATTTTAAATACTTAAAATTAAATAAGATTAATCCATGATTTGCTTAAGTGGTTTTCCGATTTGCTTAAGTGGTTTTCCAATTAATACATTCCTTGACTCTCTTCGATGTTCAACAATCTGCAATTCATCATAGTTGCCACTGGAAATAATGGCCCATGATTTTCAATTTGTTTAGTGCCACGTTCCAACTGAATGATTTAAACATTTTTTTTTTTTTTTTTTTTGAGGAACAACTGAATGATTTAAACATTTGTTTGGTTTCATGCTATGGATATCTATAATTTTATAGTTCTGTAATCTGCAGGTTCTTAAGAAGGAGTTCCCAAAAGGAGTTGACATCATCTATGAATCTGTTGGTGGAGACATGTTTGATTTGTGTTTGAATGCTTTGGCTATCCATGGACGACTCATTGTTATTGGAATGATTTCTCAGGTAATCTTGTCTAATGAATTTCTTGCATGATATTGTTTGATTAGCTCACTTTGTTGTTTCTTTTGTTGTATTTGATATGTATAATATTCAATTCTCAACTTTCTTTGCATCTTTTATATTACATTTTTCGTTTCCTTTTTTATTTATTTTTTTCTCTTTTATGTCTGTCAATTGCTCAGGCTGTGAGTGACATCAAAGAAAATTGGTCACCTAATAACAATAATACGAAGTTAGTTAAAAAATTCTATAGGAACCATTCACAATCTTGTCCTAGTAACTAAAAGGTTGTAAACATTTATTCCTGACATTGAAATAGATGCCACTGTTTATTATTCTCATAAATATTTTTGAAATTGATACTCTTTCAAACAGTTAAGTAGTTTTTGGGCTGCATAATTGTTTTGTTGGGAGTGAGGGCTGCAGGAGTTATTTATGAATTCCATGAATCTGTACCTTGTGTTTTCAGAGTTAATGGTATATAGGATCATTTACTTCTCACTTGTAAGATAACATAATAATTATAATAATAAAAATTTGTTGATTTAGCTGGAAATTTAGCAACAATGCCTAGTGCTGCTGTTTTCTTGGAGGTTGGATTGAAGATTGAGTGCATAACTGAAATTTAGACCAAGATGGTTTATAAAAGTCAACAGTATGGACCTGTGTTTGTGCTTTATATTGTAACCAGTTTCCTTGTAAAGCAATCTCAATAAATACAGATAATCAAGATATTGTTCTTGAAGTTCTCTTGGCATGTGGCGTTAATTTGGATGACTTGTGGTTTTTAAAGAGAGAATGACATTTGCTGTTTTTTCTTCAAATTTTGTTTTCAACATCATGATTGTTCTCCCATAAAACAAAAACCTACATGATTGTTTTGTTTTAATCTGTAGGACTTCGTAGCTTTTCATTTTTCTATTTTTAATACTTTCACTTTTTCTATCAGTATCAAGGACAGCATGGCTGGAAGCCATCAAATTATACCGGATTATGTGAGAAGCTTTTCGCCAAAAGCCAAACTGTGGTATGTAGATACTGTTCTATGTTTTCAACAATATGATAATCTTGTACTGTAGTATGATTATGAAGTTCTCTTTACATCTTCTTCAGTGGTACTTATCTAATGTACTAACATGCCAGTGCATATTTTTGCTAGGAACCGGGGACAAAAAGAGATTAATCTAGTTTGTCTAGGGTTTGTCCTTATCCAATTAAAAGACAACTAAAATAACTAAATATATCAACAAACAACTTCATGGAAAACTGCTTAATAGTGAACATTGCTGCCACATGCAGAGGTTATATTAAGAAATATTATGACTTGATCTGGAATTCATAATATTATCCGCCTGAAATTATAACTTTGAATTGCATTGTTCTATATCTATTTGTTTTACTCCATCTAGTCTTCCTTTCTGTCTTTTACCATATTTGGATTGAATAACTTATGTTATCTTCTCAGGTTGGTGACATCATTAGTTTCTTATACCATTTGAAAGCACTCACAATCCTCAATTAAACCACGACTTGGTATTGTCATGTCCCCCATGTCTGAAGAATATCCTTGTGCCTTAAATGTTCAACTCTAATTTTTTATTAGAACTTGGTAAAAGGAGAATGGCTAGCGGAAGAAGAAAAAGAACTTTAATCCTTACTGCTTATTTACTCAAGTCATTAGAACACAATACTTATATTGTCATCCCAAGAAATCTGGTAGGAGTTGGCCAAAAAAATATATGATCATTTTCTCCGCAGTTTGTTCCTACGTTTTAATCAGCATCAAAACAACAAATGTGTAGGTTTAGTTAACCATTCCTCTTTTGTCAGGGCGGTTTTTTCCTGATACAATACAGTCACTTATGGAAAGAACATCTGGACAGACTATTTCATCTCTACTCTTTGGGAAAGCTCAAGGTAAATCTCCTCTACTTACTATAATTCTGTCATGTGTTTTATTGTGAGCCAGGATTTATAGTTATATGAGGTTTGTATGTCTAGACAAGGTTGAGGTTGAGTTAACAGTAAGTTTATGTACCTGTTGCTGTTTAATTTACATAGAACTGTATATTATTGACTTTTCTGAACTGTAAAAGTTTTTCACTAGTTCAATAAACACATTTAGTTTCTGTTTTGGAGGCCAAAAATAAATAAATAAATAAATAAAACACATTTAGATTCTGCTTAACCTTGTGAGATGCCTGATTGGAATTTCATCCATTTCTAGATAATTCTTGCTTTTTAAGGCTGGTCTGTATCAAGAATTTTCAATTCCAAAGCACATATATTTGCTCGGGTTCAAACTAAAACCCACCTGCATTTCTGATGTGCATTGATTTATATTCTGTTTACAAATTGACAAATTGATCTACATTTGTTTTTGGTAATTTGATGCCTTCATTAACACATCTCCCAAGATGGACTTTTGATGAACCTGCCATGTAGGGTGGAAGGTCACCCAATGGGTGTTCCAACTACCCAGCCAAGGTTCAAATCCTCTTTGCCCCAAATCCAAAAATTATATGTGCTGGAAAACAGCTAAAAAAATTGAAAAAAAAGAAGAAGAAGATGCACTTTAGACATTAAATTTTACATGCTGCATATTTGTTTCTTTTGAGGTATCTCAGAACAAATTTGAAACACGGCCTTAAAACTTGATTAGGCTCCACTTTCCCTAGAGAAGCCTGCTTCACATTTGCAGTTATTGGAGCAGCTCACATACTGTGGTTAAATTCTGACAGGTCAAAATAGACCCAAAAAGATTCTTGGGCCTCAATGCCATTGCAGATGCTGTTGAGTACCTCCATTCGGGTAAAAGTGCTGGCAAGGTATGTACAAGGTTTTTAAGAAATTATCATATGCTTATTTATCCTTTTACTTCTTTTATTATGATTGCTCCGGATAATTGGCTCAATCCATGTTTATCCTAAAACAAAATGGAAATTCAATTCTGCAGGTTGTGGTTTGCATTGATCAAACTTTTGCTCAACAAATTGCAAAACTGTGATGCAAATGGTTGACAATCATCTTCCCCGATGAGAGTCTGTCAATATTCAAATAACATATGAACAAGAAGAAATTTCGTAGTATATTTCATAAGCCATGATATGTCGGTTGGAATAAGAAGTCGTTGCTGGGGAAACACAAAGCTGAGAAAATGTGCTGAGAGTTGTATAAACACTGAATTCTGCTTGAAGTTAATTAATTATAGGTAAGGAAAACATAAAAGAGTAGAAAACATAAATCTTCTTGAATTAATTCCTTCTCTGAGTCTGTATTTTGTATGTGAAACCTGAAATGATCTTTGCTGCCCCTATTTCTGTGGACACTAGAAGTTTCAGATGTTCTGTAAGAGTTTGAGGGACAAATAAGCTGGCTGTTGTGTTAAAATACCTGTTATATCAAACTGTTAGCATTGCATTTGTAATTGCACAACCACCATTTGCACATTTTAGCTACTTTTGTGCG